CGTGCCCGCCCCGGCCCACCGGCCGCCGCGAGGGCTCGGGAGCGCTGCCCTGCGGCTGCCAGCCTCCCCGGTGCCCTGGCTGCAGGCGCACCTTTGTGCGGGCTGAAGGGACCAGCCTTGCGGGGCACAGCGCTGCTTGTCCCTCAGCATCCATCTGCCCCAGCGCGTCGGCTGGATGCTTTCCTGTTGCGGTCGCTTCACTGGTAAAAGGCAGGATTTGGAGGGAGAAGGGTGGGCGAACATAAGCGTTAGGACCTTAGTCAACAGTGTTTCTGATTAATTGCTCTTAGTGTTGTGTCTAGTCCCTAGTTTATTTAGGGAATTGAGCGTGGACTCTTGTTGTCATGAGGCTTATTGGCCTCCTGATGGAGACCGCCAGAATCCCATTGCTGCTGTGAGGCTGGTGCAGGTGTGGCTCGTGTTCAAAAAAAATGGTATGCTCCCTACAAACAGTGGCCTTTTTAACAAAGGTAGCAGCATTCTGAAGATGTTTGCTACCTACATGCATCTTGAAGTCTGATACGTTCACTTTTGTCAAAACACATTTGTTTTTTTTTCTTAGCGGATTTTAATGTCGTGCAGTTATAAATTCAGTTTTACAACATGCTTAAGTGAAGGGGAAGTTAAACAGTTGTGCGATGTGATTGATTTATTTGACAAAACTACTTTCACTGCGATTAAAATAGCTGTTTTCCAGAGGAGTTTACAGACTAATATTGGAGTAACTCACTTGAAAGTAATGTGAAAGAGTTGGAGCTTGTAATTGTTTTTTTCTTCTCAGTGCTGAGAAGCAGAAAGAAAGGCTACCTACTGACAAACATAAACACAAGTAAGCTGGATATTTGGAGTCCTTTAGCTTTCGGTAGTCTGTTACTAGCAACACAGCTTGTGACATCAGAGTTCTAATTTAACTGTACCCAAAGTTGTAAATTATAGCTAAAGCTGTGATGAATCTTACAGTTAAGTAATGCATTCCTATCCTCTTCCTCCTTGCTCCAGGTGCAACTCAAATTTTTATTTGCTAGTGTATGGAAGGGTGTATAACATAAATGAAGCTGCAGATTGTTCAATCTGTAGCTATAAAATCAATGCAATTTAAAGAAAAACATTAGGACATTTTATGTAGTAAAACAGTAGGGGGAGCACCTGCATAAAAAAATACCCCATGAGAAACAGGATGGGCAACGTGAAATATTTGCATCTAGTGTGTGATTTCCACTTAAATCTTCACATATCGTGGTGATCTGATATGTCCCAAGTTAAGAAACTTGAAGCTGCTACCCTAAATTATAGCATTTTTTAAAAATACGAAACTAAAACCAATTGGCCAATCTTTGGATCATTTAGTTCAGAATTCCAATTCACCTCGTACTCTCGTGTGTTTTGATTGTTGTTTAAAGTGAGAGCTGTATTTCTGTGCTATCTCGTGTGTCCAACAGCTCCATTTCTAAGAAAAATACCAAATGTGGGAAGACTGTGGCTAAAATTAGAGGACTTAGCAACCGATATTTTTGTGGTGAGAAAGTTACCATTTCAGCATTGCACAGGCAGTGCAACAAGTGCATTCTAACTATAGTTTAATCTTTCTACTGACTGTGATAGGTAGTATTTCCTTTGTCTTGTGTCCCATGGTTTCCTTCAGCAATCAGGAGGTTAATATCTTTTAAATCAGTTGCACCTGAGAAAATTGGAACATAAGAAAGCTAGGGGGAGTTAGGAGTAAACAGTGATATTTTGTTAAAGCTGCTAGCTTAGGGCGATATCTGCTTGGTTGTGAACAACTGTTAGAGAAGTTGATTAGAGTGCTACGTATAATTTCTTATTCGTGCTCCATATGAGATATGCTTTACTAAGTGTGCGGGTCAATGTTTGTTGCCATTTTATTGAAGTGGGTAAATATGTTTTTCTTGTTTTATAGGTCAAGAAACCAAAGAAGAGCTCAAGAGACTCTTTTTGCGAAGCTGAAATGCTGGCTAGTGAGCCCTTAATTATTAGATTGGAAACCATTTATAAAGCTGAAGGTAAGTTGAGGCTTCTGAAGGTCAGATTTTCATTCCTTAAAAATTTCTTTGTTTGGGGGGATTGTGTAGTAAATAATACCCTTTCTTTTTAGTAGAGTTAGTTATTTTTAACAGCACAGTCAAAGTGTATCTGAAAGCTGTAAGAAGAATGAGGTAATAAACTCTTATGGTCCAGTAGAAGTTTGTGTAACTGATTATGGGGTCTGTTCCTACTTTTTGTGGTAGAAAACCCAAACTGACCTTAATAACAGCTGAAAATCCAAATTGTAAGCAGTTCAGTGCTGTGTGACAACTGCTTCAGTTTTGTATGCATTGCCTGTTCTTTGCATCAATGTTTTATGGTGTCAACTCATTAATTATTTACTGATGTTTTTGAATTCACACGCTAGCTGTTCCTTATCACCTCGGGTTCCAGGCTGCCAAGACCGTTCCCACAAATGTTAAAACATGTGTTTAACTTCTCTGTCTGTGACCATTCTTCACAAATTAAATGGATTTTGTTATATTTTAAAAGTTAAGTTGGTTTGCGATATTTTGAAGGGTGGAGGTTCTGTTGAGTACGGCAATAAACTTATGTTCTCCTCTCAAAAGAAGGAGAGTTGTTCAAATCTAGAAAATAATTCAAAACATCTTTTTTGTTTTGAACTGAGGAGATGACTTTATGCCAAATAACCTCTCCATTTTGGGTAGACAACTTTCATGGAGGAGAACGAACCTCTGTTTTAGTTAGCTGCTTGCTTGCACTGAAAGTTGCAAGTAAAAGAGGGATAGAACTCTCTTTCCACCTCTTGTGTGTTGTAACTGATTATTGTAGTAATGAAATGCATTCTTCATTTCTTGATTTCCAGCACTACAAATTGTTTAGGCAGCTGCTGTGTTTCATATGAGAAATCGCATTGGCATGTGTGTATAACAGTAATGGTATTTCTATACTTCTTTTTTTGTCACCAAAATACATAATAAATTGATATCACTATCTCTTCTTAGGAGATGGGATAAATTGAGAGACACAGAGGTGATATGACATCTAGAAATTAGTAAGTTGGAAATACCCTTAATTTAGTGTTCTCTCTCCTGGAAACAGGTTTTTTTCCCCATGCAGCATCGGGTTGTATTTTTAAGTGCTCTGGAGTTTTTAAGTATATATGTCAATATGTTGTTTATAAGAAAAATGAAGTAGCTAAATATATTTATTTTTAAACATGACAAGTTCCCGAATGCTCTCAGAAAAAAGAAACTGTTTGTATCCATGTTACACCTACTCATATATGCTTTTGGACAGTTAGCTGTTGTTGCAGGACAAAGCCTCACTACTGATAAGAAGTTGCTCTTATGAATAGTTCTATAGTGGACAGATTTTTTTTAGTAGTTCTTTATTAAGGGAATGTTTTGTAGTCGAAGATTTTGCTCTTCATAAACAAGTAACAGTTAAGAAGTGTGAATATTCAAGGAAAAATACAAAACAGGCAAATTAAAACAAAAAATAAATAAAAGCATTAGGTAGGACTATTAGCTGAGAAGTAACAAAGTGAAATAATTTAATATTAAACATTCAATCCTGCAAACTCTGGGGAGTTTCAGGATACCTGACTAGTGAGAGAGATCTTAATTTGGTCTGCCTTCCACTTTTGCCTTATTCTTTCTCTCACTTTTTTCTCTTTATTCTTCTTGTTAGTGCCTTGGTAGTTGTGCTGCCGTATGTCATGTGATGAAATTTCTTCTCTTGAAACTACGTTTTGCAAGGGAATAAAAGACACTGCCTGTTGAGGGCCAGCATTGTGCTGCAGGTGTCAGTCTAAACTCAAACTTGTGTTCATTCTGCATATTTCAGGTAATTTCTCTTTCTCTAAGGAGGTTGCAGGAAACCAGTCCCCTTAGTTTTTATTTTGTGGAGCTGGACTTATTAACCAAAAGGACTATAAAGTGTTACTTTGCACACCATTTTGTGACTGCTGATCAGAAGTGAGGCTGAAACTCATTGGTAGTGAGTTCAAGTTCCGTACATGTACACACTGAAGATGATACTGTTCAGTGGTCATGTGGAAGTGAGGAGCATTGGCCAATTCTTCAAAGTCTGAGGGAGGAAACGTGAATTGGCAAATGTTTTTGCGGTGTGTGGAGTATTCAATGAATTATGCCTTATTTCTTACTTCCTTCCATTTTCTCACTTCCATATGATTCTGCATACTTCCTTTCTGGAGAATAATGATTTTGAAAGAGCAGAGTTATTCTATGAAAATGGATTTGTAAGTAATCCTTTCTTGATAGTTGCATGAATGTGACATGAGATGGCTCCTGTTCCAGTGCTGTGCAGTGTTTCTATGTGTTAGTGTAGCTGGGCTCACCTCTCACTTGAAGGAAGTTTTATCAATCTGTATTTGCAAATGTTGTGTTTCTTCCTTTTGTTTTTATCTTTCCTTTTTTATGTTTCTGCTGTGTAGAAAGTTTAGATCTTCTGAATGTAGCCCTCTGTGTTGTTTTGCACTGAGAATTTTCCCCATTTACTTCACAGAATTTGCTATGCATAGAATTTGGGCTAATGGATACTGCAACATTTATAGGCAATACTGTTTTGTACAATGGGGAACATATAATCCGCCAAATAAGAATATGCATTCATTCCTGTGTGGGGACACACAACCCCCAGACAAAACCTCCCAACAAAATTACTGCTGGGACTGGGAAGCAGTAGAGGGAAATTCTACAGTTAGAATTATTTACCACCACCATCCTTCCCCGCACCCCCCAAAAAAAGGTATTTCATATGGTCTGGGATTATTCCTTGTAGATCAAGGCCAAATCTGCTTCTCCCATAGATTCCATCCTCTGACAAAACCAAAATCATGAGTTAAAAGATTTAGAATAAGAAGTAGTTGATCTGAATGCAGACTGTACAAGTAGTGTGTTTTTGTAAGGAGAAGGAATATGCAATATATTTATCAAAATAATAAACCAGTCATTTTTCCTAACCTAATACTGAGCAGTTAAGTGTATTAAGCTGAAAAAGCACAGTAGCCGTACTTCAAGGACCTGAGGCTCTCGTACCTTTCAAATGCTGCTTACTAACCCGATGAAAGTCTCTTGAATACACTCTATCCTGAGAGTTATACGGATTATTGGCACACTATGGTCCTTTACCAATGTGATGGTTCAGCTGGTACTGGAAGTGACACGGTAACAGGCCCTGGGATTGACATGGCTAATTCTTCCCTTCCTCCCGTA